AGGTTTTGTATTTCGAACAGCACTCAAGGTGCATGAAAATAAATAAATAAGCTAACCTTAAAGTCTAAAACTGGGAATGAAAATTCGAGCAGACTTCAGTCCTCGTCATCAGCTTAGCTCTCTGGGTGTGACAGGCAATTTTCCTTTTTAATTTTCTAAAGCAATAAGGAGACTAATGGTACACCTTAAAAAATATGACCTTATCCTTGTAAGGTGCCTGAAGTCTGGCAGGAAATGAGATGGCTTCTCTTTCTATGGAAGTCCGGCATCCTCAAGCAAGAATTCCCTTCTTGCTTGCATCAATGGATTGAGGAATGGAAGGAAAGATTTGATTTTTGTGCACAGCTTTTATTCTGCTCCAGCTTTGATCCCTGCAATGTTTTTAATGGTTGCATTTTATAATTTTTTAAGTTACGGATGCTTCATAAGAATATGGATCAGATATGGCTGATCATTTTAATTCGGCCAAGTTACACAAAAGCATGCCCGGGTGAAGACTTTTCTTCTTCCTCTAGGTCCTCTTGAAGTCAGTGGAACTGTCTGCATCAGTAAAATTATGGTTTTGCAGTACTGTAACATGAAAATGTTTTATGAAAAAAATAAATTACAGCCAGAGCTATTTCAGTGAGTAATCTGACAAAGTATCCTTGGTATGGTGAGTCTGTCAAAACTGCGGATAAACAGAACATAGTGAATTCTTCTGTGTTTCTGTCTGTAGGGTTGCATCTGCATGAAGTACATACGACCACAACAATTTTACACATCCACCCATGCAAATACCCCTCCTGATCATGTCACTGTGTTTTTTTAACTTTATTTTATTTTTATTTTTAGGAGAACCAGTCCTTTCTCTGCTAATCTTTGATAGTAGTTACTACATTAGCTTGTTGTTTCATCTGCTTCACCAGGAAGAAAAAATCATTTAAACATTATTAAATTCCTCTTCTAAAACACCATACAGAAATGCTGTGTCAGAGCCCAAGTGGAACTGCTCCAGTTATGAAGTGAGTCTTTTTTCCTTTCACTCCTCATGTCCGTTGTTGTACTGACCTTTCATTTTCTATGTATTTTCTTTACAAAGGCAACGTTGCATCCTGTCATCGTTTCTGGAGTTAATGAACTCTGAGAGCATGGTCTGTGCAAAGCGTGCAATATGGTAATTTGCATGTTTTGTTAACAGATTTGCAGTCTCAGGGCCAAATCCTGTGGTCCTTGCAAACCTCCCAGCGGCTGGAACGAGGACAGTGGCGACTGGGAGGCAGAGCCGTTCCAGCCCGACACAGCCCCGGCCTCAGGCCCCTGGGGGAATGGATGCAGCTTAAACCTGCTGCCAAGTGACTTGCCCAAATTCCTGAAACTCTGTGGATCAGCAGAAACTAAAGCTGAGTGTCACAAATGCCAAAATAATGATCTGATCACCGGACCATGTGTCCCCTGTTTAACTTGGCTTTAGAATTTGCGCTCTGCTGAAGTGCATAGGACAGCTCACACATCCAACCACTGTTATTACAGGTGTCTAAAGACTTGAGCACACATTGATGCATTGGTTTAAACTCATTTCACATTTCAAAGGTTTTTCTTTGTGATCAAAGTGCCTAGAGACTTCTTTATAAATGAAAGCAGAGATTTTGAGACAGAAGATGTAGCCACCATAGAGAAGAAAAGGCTTGGAGAGAGGAGGGACAATGAGATCCAACCCAGAGCAGGCTTTTTATTCCAGTCTGAGTTTGCAAGACTTTGCTGGGAAGACAAATTGCTTCCTGGTTTTTTGTGTCTGTTTAATCAGGAAGGTTTTGAAATGCAACTGCAACTGAAAACGCTTTGAATGGTTCTACAGAATGATTTTCCAGAAGAAAAGTCCATTTCAAACCAGCTATATTATAATTTCTTTGTACTGCTCTGCCATCATTACTTGCAGTTGCAAAGACCAACATTTTGCATTCTGACAGCCTGACTATTTGTGTTTACATGAACTAGATCACTTACATAGGCTTAGTCATCACTAAATCTGATTATAATAATTGCATCATAACATCATAACCAAATGCAGTTTTTACAGGAAATTAGCAGAAATGAAACTTCCCTAAAAGGATGTTCCAACAGAACATGAAACCAGTACGGACAATGTGAAGCAAAGGAATAAATAGTCAGGGCACAGACAAAGTCACGTCCTTGCTGTGCAGGTTTGTGTGAACCATAGCACAGTGTATGCAAGGAGTCTTTACAGCAAAATGCAGTGTGACCATAGACCAGGATGCTGTTTTGCTGCCTGCATTTCCCTTCTCACTGGGCTGCCAAGTGCGTTGGCTGCCTGGCCCGCTGCGTCCTTGGAATAGTGGCCCAGTTTGAAGAGCAGGGATGATGCCTGGCCCCAACTGGGATCCTGCCTGTGCCAGGGCAGGAATCCCTCCCTGCTCCCTGGAGAATAATCTCAACATGGCAAAGGTGGCAGCTGCTCCCCCCTGCTCCTCCTCCTCCAGCCTGCCCATGAGGAGCTGTTCTTGTGGCTGTAGGATGCATCTTGAGGGCATTTTGCCAGCTTTGGTGGCTGATTTGGAGCCTCCTCATGCCTGTGTTTTGTCAGAGGAGGGGCTGCTATATCCTTATCTGCTTTCTTGCACGCTTGCTAGGCTTAAATCTGCCAAAATGTACAACATGACTCTCTTGTCGCATTCTAGGAGGTTTATTGGCTGCTGCCATAATGGACGTGACAGAACAAGTATTAGGTGAGAAGATTTTAGTGGGCTGCATGTTAGCCTGCACTTTCCTGATCACAGTCACATGAGAAAAACATTAGCAAAAAGGAGCTTGACTCCATGAATGAAAGACTGCAGCCCTCCTCCCCGAAGTGGGAAGCAATTCCTGATTCATCAGAGCAAATTCCTGTTTTGATCAGGGTGGTGGCTTTGGCATTTCTTGGCATCCAAGGGAAAAAATCTGCCCAATTTGACTGATTGGAAATTATGTGTGTTTTCACATTCTACTGATCTCCTTTCCAGCTCTTGCTCTGGAGCGAAGGTGGCCTTGTGCAGAGCTATGATCCCTAGCCCAAGATTTGAAGAGCTCTTCAGATCCTGACAGTTGTTGTCACCAGTAGTATCAAGATGATCTGGAAAGATAGGAAGCAAAGGGAAAGAGAAGTTTCAGATGCTGTCAGAAGATGTCAGCGTGTTTGTTTATTTGTTTAAACTGTTGCAAAGGATGTTCTGGGTCATTAGTCACAATTCAGGAAGATTTAAGGTAAGGTCACTTTAGCCCAGCTGGAGAGAATAGCTCAAGCTGTTTGCCTCCACATGTGGTTCACAGAGATGCAGATGTTCATCTGGATGAGTTAAACTAATGTTTGTTCTGTCTCCTTGGAAGCTTTACTGTTTTAAGTGCCTGAAGTAAGTGAGCATTGAGGTGAAGAGAAAGGCCAGATCCTCAAAATTCATGGCACCGGAGGGGCATGGTTTAAAGCATGACTCTCCATTAGCTTCAGAGCTCTGGGTAAGCTATTATTTTATCAGGAAAATAGTAATTGACTACATCTATCAACACTCCTTTGCTCTCTCACTGCTAACTGACTATTTAGTGGTCTTATGGTGTGTTAAGGCTAATTTCTAACCTGAGTGCTATATTGATAGGGATATCCCTGTGGCTTTGAAGTCTATGAGAGTGCTGATTTGTAGAACTGTGTTGTTTACCTTTTGAAAGGGCAGAATTACACTGCAACAACAGGAGCTCTCAGATGACAGGGTCAGTGCTTGTCACTCAGCCCCTAGAGTCCCATTATTTCGGCCTTCATGCTATAGCAGAAGCCAAATGTTCACAGATATTTAGAATCCTAGGACCTTCCTGATGTTTTAGGAGAAAAGCAAGTTAAGATGAGTCTCTGGGTTCTTGTTTGCATTGCTCCATTAGTTGCAAAAAACAGTTGCAAAAAAGTTTGCCTTTTTTAAAGACATCCTAGTTCAGATGCTGTGTTGCTCCCTAACCCCCTCCTTAGGCTGGGAGTGGGCAGTGTTGGAAGGAGAGCTGGAGCCGGGAGAGCGTGCGCTGTCGCCCGAGCGCTCTGCGGGCAGCTCCTCGCAAACAAGCCCACAGCACAGCACCCATCTGACAGGGTGCCACAGCTGCACAAACAGACAAGGGTGTAACCGATCCCTTTCCCTGTTTTTTTTTTTTTTGGTGCCTATTTAGCGAATTAGCTAATACGGTGCTTAGTGAGTGATGCTGGCTATGACAGAAGCTGCTTTACATGTTGTTTTTAGCTTGGTTTAACTGAGAAAACCAGGAGATAGGGCAAGAGGCTGAGGAGCTGGAAATGATTAGCACAAGAAAGGCAAATGGGAAGAAGGGGAGGAGAGAGAGGCCACCATCACTAATGTCTGTGTGACTGAGGTGTATCCTGGGTATATCCGTGCCCAGGCTCTAACTGCTTGTGCAGTGTCCTTTTCTCAGAGCTCCACCATGAAGCTTTTCCTCATCATAGCCAGGCAGAAGGTGGGCATTTCCCCTTGCCCCCCGGATTACAGCCTCTCCCTGAGTATCTCTTCCCATGGAGATGTGGAGATCAACTCCGGCCCAGAGCAGCCCAGGACACCAGCCGACTTTGCGGACACGTTGCCTTCCCTCAAGGTGCCTTCACAGTTGGGAGACTCATCTCTAAAACATCCTTGTTGCTCCTCTTCACATTGCTCCATAAGACAGAGGATAACCAAGAGTCAGACTCCCCGGATGGGCCTGTCATCTTGCCCAGTGCTCTCTCCTTGGGCACCCTTCCCACTTCTCTCATGTTAGATCCTGGCTGCTCTGGTGGTTGAGGCCATCTTTTTCTCTGCGCTTGTAAAGCATTTACTGTAATGAGTGTAGGTCCCAGGACAACTAAACCCTACACTAATATAAATGGTAAAAATACATGAATAATTGATATTCAGGACCAGCTTTTCCTTGTATTTTAGTCATGTATTTCCTGGCAAATATGATATCAATAACCCTCACTTTTCCTTCCCATTTAGATGACCTCTAGGGTCATCAATACTGAATGCGTTTTGATTTCAGGTGGCAGAAAAGGCCCCCAAATCCAGCTGAGATCACCACTATTTCTGTGTAAGTGCTTCTGCAATAATTGTGATTGAGAATCATGTGGTGCAACTCTGTGGAGAGCTGAAAAACTGCTACCTACGAGGAAAATCAGAAAAAGGGTTTCCTCCTTAAAATGAATTTATCTGATTTCTGTCTTCTGCAGATATACAGATTGAGGCTTAACTGCATGGAGTAGTTTTTTATTGTTTCTGTCCAGGAGGATGAAGCAAGGATTCTGATTTAATAAATGATGTGTGTGAGACATGGATGATGACAAGCAATCATTGATTTACCCAGCTCTAGTTTTCAAACGCTGCAATTGTTTTCCTATTTTGTGGCCACTGTATCTGAAACTATATCATATGTAAGTACTCTGAATATTTTATATTGGCATACTTCTTTCTTGCCAGCTTTTTCCCCCTTCCTTTTTCCATCAGCTTTTTAATGGCCTTATTTCTGGATTGTTTTACCACTCTAAAAGAGATTGACTGAGCAAATAATGTTGCTCTTTTGTTGATTGCCTTGTTGTTGGTTAAATACTATTCCAATATAATGGGTAAGTTATTATTTCTAAGATAGCCTTGCTGCTGCATTTTTTCTATTTCTTTGGGAAAAAAAAAAAAGGATGTTATCTCAGGAAAAAAAATGTATTTGGTTGGAAGGAAAAAAAATGCTGTGCATTTGAAACCTGTGAGAATAGTTTATTTTCAGTTCAGGGTAATACATCCTTTAATTAACTGAAGAAGAGATGTTCAAAGGCAAAAATACGTTAGGTACCTAATGTCCTCAGTGGTGTCTTTTTTGTTCTCTCAGCTGTATGGCTCTACAATTTGACTACAGATGGAGAGATACAATAAATATGTATTTTGTCTGTTTAATCTGTATTGCATTTTCCTTATTTTCCATACAGGGAGAAGTCCAAAGCATGCCAGCAGAACAGGAGCACTCGACCAATCCTTCTCCCTATAAGTGACTGGCTGAACTCACTTTAAGAAAGTTTAAGAGCTGGGTATTTGCTCTGAATTTACCGTGATGAATTGGAACAGCAGGTAGGTCTCCATTAGAAGTATGAGTTATTACATATTTGTCCCACCCCGAAAGCTTACCTGAAATATGGCTAAAGATAACTGTTCCTTGATGGGCACAGGTCCTTGAGTTTTAGCACTTGAAGAGATTTATAGATAGTTGCCTGAGCCAGCACCAAGTCTGTGTTTCGAACAATGTGTTTTTACAATCTATGCATGCAGGTAATAGGCCTGATTTTTGTATCTGAGGCATGTCTAAAACTAATGCTGTAATCAATGGAAAATGTGGAAAATGTGGACGGTTGACATCTCTGAGAATTATTGCCCAGGAAAAGAAGCAAACGGGCCTTTCCTTTTACAAGGAAGAGATCAAGAAACAGAGCTCAAGATCAGAAATACAGAGGAAAAAAAATCAAAAGCTCTCAGTTCTCTATTTTTCAGTAAACAAGATCTGCTCACCACTGTTTTTACAATTTATAGCACTTCTAAGTGTGAAGAATGAGCTCTGATGAGGAAAAATCCCAATCAGAGGTGTCATATGTGAGAGAAAAAGAGCTGCTTGGTTTTAGGTGGAAAAGGTGGAGGTTATGGACAGTTTGAAAACAGCTGGGACTTATTCTAGAAAAATCAGCTTGATATGCTTGCTTATAAGGAAGAGGAGCAAAGTCAGAAGGGTGGAGTCCTTCTTCCCTTCAAGAAGTGCTGTGGTGATAGCTTTGGTGGGGTTTGAGTCTGTGAGTAGCCTGTTGTCAAAAAAGAGGTGATAATAGCATTATTAATAGCATTATTGTTTTTTTCTCTGCTTTTGGGTCACCTATGTGATATTACACTGTGTCAAAATAAAATCCAGAGAATCTACAGGTAGGTTTCCATAGGGTGTGAAGGAATGGTAAAAAGGTGCCCTGACAGGGAAATACCTACTGCAGATGGGTGCCCTATTCAGGACCCAGATGCTCTATCAGATTTCAGGATGGCCAGAATGTTCCTATTCTTTCCCAAAGCCCTGTGAGCTGTAGGGAGTAGGGTGTGTAAAGCCTCATTTTATGACTATCTGGAGGACAAAATTTAATTTGTTATGTAGGAAGAATGAGCTCTTTCTTTGGGACAGGGCAACAAACGGATTAAGACAAGTCCTATTGTGCAGTAGTTAGGATTCTATGTAAACAAGCCATTTTAAAAAGACAGTAAATAGATATATCTAATATCTTTATAATATTTATATGTCTTTATAAAAAATATTGTGTATTAATTGCTGGGAAGGACTTTATTTGACCTATGTGAGCTACAGCTTTTTCCATGGAGGAAACTTCTGTCAATGTAGCAGAGAGCTGGATTTTGCATGCAGCTTGCTTCCTGTTTCTTCTCTTCTTTTGAAATGCCAGTAAAAGCAAAGCAGTCTTTGTAACTTATAAGCAACCCTGTGTGTAGAAAGTTCTATTTGTTACTACTTCACCAAATTAAATGCTAATAGTTAGCTGCAACTTTGCCTCAAATTTGAGCCTGTCTAACCACAGTGTGGCACTAATGGTATAAATGCACAGAACTCCGAAGGAGCTTGAACAGTAACTCTGCAATCATCTTCATAAATGTCACATTAAAAAGTCACAATACCTTAAATGTTTTGTTCTGCTTGTATAAGGCAGGGCTACATCATAACAAATAACTATCACAGTTCTTGTGATAAAAGTGCAGCTTGTGGGTACCTCGTATAAAAATGACTCTTTTGCTCTCCCCTTCTGCTAACTGCCAGCAACTGCTTGTCTCTCTAGGGCTGTTTTTGTGCTGGTGTTAACATCCTGCTATATCTTAGATTAGGGTCGTTAGGCACTCATTAGTTCCTGAAAGAGGAGGGACACCTTCTTCCTCAGTGTTGACTATTAATGAGGAGGCAAAGGAGCCCACCAGTCTGAAAGCACCATGGAAGATGCCCCGCTTCTGAGGCATTACCTCTGGATTTATTTTGCCATGCTGTGGATTAAAGCAGCTCTGCCATGGCTGCTTTTCTTTCCATGGCCTGCCTTATTGGTTTCTTTCTTTGTCTTCCCTCTGTCTTCACTCAAGCATGAAGTGGTGCCAACCAAATAATAAACAAAAATATGTTGTCACCTGCAGCCTCTTGCGGGATGGAGCAGTCGTCTGACAACTTAACTTGGCTTTGCTATCCCTCATGGGCCAGCACGCTCCCTTTCCTCCCTCTGATTCATTGCTGGAGTAATGTGTCTTGTCCGGCTGCCAATACCACCACAATGGATTACGGTGCTTCCCTGAATAGAGATACTGGTGAGTAATTTTCATCTCCACTGAAATTAATTCATACATTTTTATCCTGGTTTGCATCAGAATCGAGTAACTTGACTGATTTAGAGTCCCAGCTTGTAACCCTTAAAGATATAAAACCCTTCCAAAGACAGCTTCTTGAAATTGGTCACATAATGGTAAATTCTTGTTAAAGATGACCTTGAGGTAATCACATGAAAAGCTGATAAAAAGCTGAAAAGTTGTGCTCCAATAAAATAGGATTAGTTGTTTAAAAAATAAACAAGCAAAACATCAAAAAAAATCCCATATATTATAACTTCATATGTGGCTCAATTTAAGCCTGACTGTACATAATAAGCTTGTAATTCCATTGATTCATTGATGGTGAGATAGCAAACCCCTGTAAATCTGAGCTGTTGGACTGTGTGCAAGAAATGGGCAGTGTGTGAACCTGCTTGTGTGTGGCATCTTTTGGCTAGTTTCACTGTGTCACTGTCCTTCTGCCTATCCCTAGGGTATTTTTAGAGATTGCTGGTTCTACGTGCTGCCCTCATGGTGATACGAAACAAGCCAGGTAGATTTTACAGGTGAATTTCCTGGTTATGGTGTTACTTTTTTAATGGTTAGCACCTGTGTCCTCTGCATTATGCAATGATACTGTTGTTAGGAATGTTTGGGCTGGCAGATAGAGAGGTTACCCTGAGCTTTCATGTTCCATCACCTCCCAGTGTCCCTCACAGCGCAAAACTTGTCAATGTGGGCATATACACACAAAGGCTAACTATAGGTGTGCCTGGATGCTAAAGTTTCAGCTTTATCTGCAACTCTTTATACAATCTCTGCATACTGTGTCCAAAAAAACGTATAAGGACTAACACTTAAAATTAAGGCAATATTAGTGACCTGCAACTCAAAACCAGCATGACAGTTATCTGCAGATTGTAGCCCTCAAACTCTTTTCTGATTTGTTTTCGAGATAAACCAGACAATTTTCAGTCTAAGATGTTTTTTTTGATCCCTAGTCAAAATTGTACACAGCTAAAAATAGAGTTTATAATAGAAACTGTGGCTTTAACTATGGGGTCTTAGCATGGCTTTGTTATATTGCAGTTCTGTTAATTAAAACGAGCGGGGACCAAACATAATAGGATTGTGCTAATAAAGCATGAAATGAACAGCATTACCTTAAGACATTGTCTACCTATTTTTTGTCATTCCATGAGCAGTTCTTTGTCTTCCCACAAAATACACTGAACTTGAGGGAAGGATTTGGAAGGAAGGAAAAGTTCCTAGCCAAGATCCCTGACTGTCACATGATTGTTTTTATGCATTTTGGGGGCAGCCTGAGGGCATACAATAAGCATAGTTGTGTAGTTGCTTCATGTTGGATTCAAACTGCCAGGTGCTTCAGACAGAAAAATGCCATTAATCCAGCAGTCCTAGTGATTCAATGTGCTTTAAGGAAAACTTGTACTGAAAATAGCTTCCATTTCTTACCTTAAACTTAGAAGCATTCTCAAATAGTCTGTGATGTTGCAGGTCTACAGCACACTTCATAGACTCATAATAGTTACTATAATACAGAAGCAAAACTTTTATATCAATATGACTGCACCAAGATAGAAATTTAATGTGTTTCTGAATTAAATTTTTAAACATGCAACAGCGGAACATATCTAGAAGCTGTAGGCAGTGTTGGGCTTGATGCTTCAAGCATAATATTATGCCCACCACATTAATTTTCTTTTGCATAGGTGTACTCTCTAAAGCCTCATTCTTCATATAGAATCTGTGCACATAAAATTTTTATACACACAGTTGCACCAAATGGAATTGGAGCTCTTGCGGATGACATTTACCTGGCCTCAATTCTTCCTGGGCTGGGATCTAGCAAGTGCAGCTCTCTGGACAATAATGGCTGAATTAAATGCCACTTAAAACATTACATTCCTGCAATATTTCTAAGTACTTTATGTTAATATGAACATTGTTCATATGACTATCGCTTTTAAAATAAAAATAATACACCTGTCATTTTTAAATAAAGAGAAAGCTTATGCAAAAGTCAATTTGTCTCTGCCTTTTTCAGGAAAGAAAATCCAAAAGTGAAAGCAGAACAGGAGGTTTGAATGGCGAGTTTGCCTAATGTTATTGAGAGTCCCTGGCAACTCTGCCACTACAGTAGCCAGCACAGCTTTCTAATGGGTTATAGTCCTAGAAATCAAAGCAGAGGCAAGATGTAAAGTATTTTAACTTCTGTTGCCTGCATCGGCTCAGAGAGAAACTGCTGGAGAAATGAAAAGTAGTATTCTGAGTAAACCGAAATGACAGCGCACGTGTCGCCAAGTGCTGCTCGAGCATATGAAGTGTGATCCAGTTCCTCCTCAAGCGAAAAACTCTCCTAACAGCAACAGGCATCAGGCTTGCACCAAGCGCTGTCTGCCGAGAACAGCTCTGTGCGAGGCCTGCAGAAAGTTCTGATAATTTACCAAAAAAGTCATTAGAACAAGTGAGGTGAAATTATTTTGAATGTAGCTGGTCTGGAAACTGTGGTTAAAAGGAAACAAAAACATATTTCTTGATGAGTTTTTCCACAGCTGAAGTGATGTTTTTTCAGAGTTGCAAGGTATTGGGTTTTTGATAGCCATTATTAGATGAAATACTGTAGGGAATCT